CATCACGTGAAGGACTGTGCCCTACTCTAGACGGGAGCATTAACACCGGGGGTGCATGTTATGAGCTTTCTATGCATCTCACATAGCCACTAATTCGTAATCATAAACCATAAACTTACATGGCACTTACCTGTGTAGCTGCAGCACCAAACATACATATATATGCAACCATTAATGCATAACTAAATAGACAAACACTATGCATGGCATTTAAAACATATAAGTATTCCATATCATTTTTTGGGAAAAACCACAAGTATATAGGTATATACGGAAAACCAAAAGCCCACTCACTGGTATGTGGAAGGGTCGCAACCCCTTTGTCTCGAGTGACTGCGCTCGTCCTTGGGATAGGTCTCACTTATATGCGAAACAACTATAAAAACGTTAATTTAAAGCACATAACCAAAACTAGGTAATAGCTTCGCATACAAAGCTCAAATGAGGTGTGTGAATACACCAACGTGATCTACTCAACCTCACGAACATCCCCATATTTTTAAAATAATTTTCTGACGTCACACGTGCCCCCCACATGCTGGCCAAGGTACGTGTAACAACGTTAGGGAATATTCTGTCCAACAGCAAGCATATTCCGTTAAAACTAACCTGACGTTGTTAAGAATATTCCATTAACTTAACGGAATATTCCCTTGTCTTCTCCGGTGAGTCTCACCGGAGCCGCCGCCATCTGTGTCACGGGAAACTGGGAAAATTTTCAAAACTTCATATCTTCTTCATTTCTCAACCAAATTCCATGAGATTGGTACCAAAATGAAGCTTACAACAAGTAGAACAAAACCTTACCACTTTGAAGCCCAAAAACCAACGAAATCTTGACAGAAAAACCCACGATATTCCAGCCAACCTGCAACTCACTGAAACTGGGCTTCTCGACATCCAAATCCTTCCAACTTTCTTCCTCGAGCTTCGTGAGGACCTCCTAAAGCTCCCTGTGATCCTCAAAACTCCTAAAAACGTCACGATCACGTGTGCATGAATAGTGCACAAAATCGGGATTCTCTGGTTCTCGGGTTTTCGAGGGTTTCACGTCCAACAAATGGTTTGGATGAGTTCCTGAGCTTGCTAAGAGTCCAAAACCCACCTTCAAACCTTCGATCCGTGAGTGGAAGATTGAAGTTGAAGTTCGTCCATACACCTTGTAAAGGAAATGGAAGAAGTCCGAGAGAGAAGAAAGAGAGAAAGGTCATGGAAGTGTGGTATGGGTGTGGGTGTGTGTGTCCTGTAGAGTCAACCCCCAAAAACAACAAAACAACACCCCACAACACTAGTTAACTTCCAAGGGCATTTTAGTCTTTTCGCACCTACAGTACAAATAATCCAGGACGGGCTGTCACATGATGAATGTCTAGGTCTTAGGTCTTGCATTTTTTTTCATTTTTTCTATTTTCATTTATTTATTTAAAGATATATTAGAGTTATTTAAAAAAAAAATTATGGTTATTTTGGGAATAATGGTGGGTGTGGAAATAACATTTTACTTTCTTAATTTTTTATGGTGGGTGAGATTATTATGTGGGTGGGAAAATAGGACAATGTGGTTGGTCTAGTAGCACTCACAACTAAAGAGAAACATCTCTAAAGGAGATATCAAATTTTAATCATCAAAATGATAGTTGATAGCTTATGTGGCAATTTGACATTTTGTACAATATTTTGCTCCACCCGATATGTTAAATAATAATATCATTTAATAAACTTTTTATCTTTTTGTGGAGTTCAATGATTAAGGCAATCATTCAAATATTTCAAAAACATAACAACATTTATTCTATATTATATTAATCTATTAAAATATTATTTAATAAATTTGACATCTGTTGCCAAATTTAACATCAAAAGACTTTGCCTTCAAATGATTCAGCGCTACCTAAGAAATTGAAGGCTTGGTTGGAGAGAGTTTGCAACATTTTTTACTGTTGTATGCCTACATGATAATTTTGACATCTCCTTTAAAAATGCTCTAAAATTCTTTTCATTTGGCGGTTAAATTCCTTTCTTTTAATAAAATGCCAAATTGTACAGCTATACGCTCCCCTTGCATGCAATTTTAAATTTCATAAAATCTGCTACAAGACACAGGATAATGTGAACAGCATAAAGAAATTCAAATGACAGCATGAAAACAATAATATTTCTTAAAATAATGTAGATGGGAGCGATCGTATTACTTTAATTACATAATCACCTTTTTGGTATAGCAAAAGATCCATCTTACTTTTTTAACACGGCTTGAGATAAGTCAAGGTGTGAATTGAAGTGTACACTTTCATGAAAATTGCCGGAGATATCACATTTTTGTATCACTTTGGTATATTATTTTATATAATAAGTGATATATACATGTTATATCAATTAATGATTTTATCTCATTAAACGTTGGTTGTATGCATCACTTATCATATAAGATGATATACTACTTAGTATAAAAATGTGATATCTTTAGCATTCCTCTAATTATATACATACTAAAAAATGGTCATATAGTGTTAATATTAATGTATAGTAATTTTTAATTAAATAGTGTCATTTTAGTGGTTTATTAAAATGCCTTGTTTGTCTTTTTTTTTTTATAACTAAAATTGGATGTCTTGCTTATTTTGGATTTGACTAATTTTTTAAAGGATAATTTTTCAACAATGAATTTATTAAAATCAAACTCAAATCATGCTCGCAAAGTGTATTTCAAATAGCGTAATTTCACTATAACACCCTAGGTTTTCATCTAATGATTTAAAATATGCATGTAAAATACTTGACATGAAAGCTGGAACATTCTTGTGTTATGTTATATTGTTTGGTGTATATTTTCGCGTCACATTCAACTTTCAAACAAGTAAAAATTGAGGCAATAGTCATCGTTTAGTTATAATAATTCGATATCAAATTCAATATTCACGAAAGTCGAACATATCATATTGACTACTATTTTTTATAATTGTGAATTAGGGATGGACAAAATCGATACTCGTTTATCGCAAAGTACCTATTAAGCAAGAGATTTCCAAGTAAATTGGTTAGAAATATTCATTCTTACCCTCAAAGTCCAGAGTTTGATTCTCTAATTCTACTAATAGTCCTTGTACAATAATAAAAATTAAACAATTTTTTTTAACAAACGATATTATTTAACTAAGAGGGTGGGGGAGTGGACTAAACCTGACAATGAGTTAGCAATAATGTGGTTCAAATTCTTTTTTGGCAATAATCAAACCTAAGACTTCTCAAACACAAATAAAGAGAAATACCATATATCTTTTGTTATATCTAATTATCAAATTCAGTAAATCAAACGTAAACCAACGATCATAATTAAACAAGAGTGAAAAATGAGAAAGCACGCATTTATCATTTCTCATGATTTAATACGGTAAGTTATTTCCAAGTGACTTGCCTCCAAATTAACAGAGTCATTTTCCAGATATCATATCGTAGGCAAAACATAAAATAAGGACCGTCGATATCTTGGACCCCACGATCTACTTTATACAAAAAGCCGATGGAAATTTTTTTGTTGATTTTTATTTTTGTTATTAAATTCGAAGGATATGTACAAAAAGCCGATGGCAATGCTATTAAATTCAAATGTACTTACTTCTGCAGTTACTTAAAGGATATGCACTCCCCGGTCAAAGTTGATAGCTTTCTTCCCCCCAAAACCCCAAAACCCCAAAACCTTCTTTCTTTGAACAGAACAGGGAATATTTATTCTCGAGATTTTTTTTTTAACAAATAATATTATTTCTATTAAATAATAAAACATTCATTATCAACTAAAACTTTATGAAATTACTAGTTTAACAATCTAATTAAAATAGAACATGAATAAGAAATATGGGGCAGAAATGTAATTTCACACAACTAAATTTTGTTGTATTTTTTTTTTCAAAACCTCACATACATGTAATCCTAACATATCTCTAATTAAATAATAAAAAAATAAAAAAAAATAAAAACTTCTCACTCCCACATTCTTTTTCAATCTCTTCCTTCTATTTCAAAAACAAAATAAAAAATTTTCTCACACACTTTGTGTGTGCCTATATGCTAGTTTATAGTAAGAGAAGATGATTGGTTTAGCTTCACAATGAACTAATAATAATGTGGTTCAAATTCGTTTTGACGAGAATCGAATGTGGTACTAAGTGGTGAGATTATTATTTTAATTTAACCATTTTGTTCTCATTCTCTTCAAACATTTAAATATTCTCTTAAAATAAGGAAGTTTTAACGAAAAGTTCACGGTACTGTTCACTTTAACGAAAAATCACATTTTTACACTAAAAAGTCAATCATGGTACTATTCACTTTACTTTTTATTTTGTCCTTATGATTAAAATTGAAAGTTTTCAAGTATTTTTCATTAGTTTTCTTTTAAAATAAAGCTAACAAATGTATCCTTTCCATAACTTTAATTTAAGATTATTTTTAGCTACGACTCATGAAACTCAAATTTTATTTTACTTTGTCTTTTGTAATAAAAAGTTATTGTTTTACACTTTGAAATTCAAAATTTGGTCCACTTTACTATGTTTCTGTTTCTTATGTTAAATTCGCTCAATTTTGATCATATTTTGTCACCTAAAACTCAAAAGTTGTCATTTTAATTCTGTTAATTTTGTTCAAAAATTGTCAAATATATTGATATGGATTAAAAATACATATATGAAGAAAAATAAGCTATTATATTATTATTTTTACCTATTCACGTCAACAATTTTAATAGCTATTTGACAAAAGATACGAAAATATAGTAGAGCAAAAAAAAAAAAATTTAAGTTTCAAAAAAAAAAAATTGTGACTTTAGAAATAAGTGGTACAGTTTAATATATTTATTACTCTACTATCAATTATACAATTGTACCTCCTGCACCCTGGTGTAAAAAAAAAAAAAAAAAAAATGATGCCCCTGGCCCCTGCCATGTACTCAGAAGTAGGCCAGCCAAGTAAAAAGCACCACCGCTTCCAATTCAAAAACCAGAAACCCAAAAACCAAACCCCAAAAAAATAAAAACCCAAATTTGTTCTGCAGAATAATTTCAGTTTCAATCACAAAAGCTTCAATCTTTACTCTACCCAGCTGGGTAGTTTCCAAAATTATCAAAAACCCATCTCAGAACTCCCAAGAACTGACATGATTTGATCCAAAAAGTGAAAACAGCAGATGGGTTTTCTTTCAAAACCTGTTTCCAATCTCTCCCTCTATCTGCTTCTGTTCTTCCTCTTCAGTTTTGAGCTCATCGCAGCTGCTGAATCTGCCACTGACATCACCTCCTTGGTCTACAAGGGCTGTGCAAAGCAGACATTTTCAGATCCAACAGGGGTCTACTCCCAAGCCCTCTCAGCCCTCTTTGGGTCCCTGGTGCAGCAGTCCTCCAAGGCCAAGTTCTTCAAGACCAACGCAGGCAGTGGCCAAACCACCATCTCAGGGCTCTTCCAATGCAGAGGTGACCTCAGCAACTCTGACTGCTACACCTGCGTGAGCAAATTACCCCAGATGTCTGACAACCTCTGTGGGAAAACCATTGCTGCTAGGGTTCAGCTCATTGGATGCTACATGCTCTATGAAATCTCTGGTTTTGCACAAATTTCAGGCATGGAAATGCTGTACAAAACCTGTGGGGGCACAAATGTGGCAGGGTCGGGGTTTGACGAAAGGAGGGACACTGCCTTCAGTGTTTTGGAGAATGGGGTTGTGAGTGGCCATGGATTTTACACCACAAACTATCAGCAGGTTTATGTTTTGGGGCAGTGCCAGGGCGATGTGGGCGACTCAGATTGTGGGGAGTGTATGAAGAGTGCGGTGCAGAGAGCTCAGGTTGAATGTGGGAGTGCAATTTCTGGCCAAATCTATCTACACAAGTGCTTTCTTAGCTATAGTTATTATCCTAATGGGGTTCCCAGGAGATCATCCTCTTCTTCCTCATCATCCTCCTCATCTTCGTCAGGTAAAACGCTAGTAACATTCTGAAATTTCGGATTTTGGGGCTAAATTTGCTTTCTTTTTTTTACAAACTTGTCCAATTTCTTATTAAGTTGTCACAAAGAGCGGCTTCTTTTGTTTTTGTTTGACAAGACGATGTTCTAAACTACTCTAATTTTGGAACTCGATGCAATGAAATAGCTTTTGCTTAAGTTGGATAACTTTGATTTAGTGTTTCCATCTCCAAGAATGGTTTGATTTCTGTATGTGTAATTTATTGGTATTTAATCTGATTTTTTGGAATGTGGTTGATTGATCTTAGGGTCAGGGAATACAGGGAAGACAGTGGCTATAATTTTAGGAGGAGCAGCAGGAGTTGGATTTCTAGTCATATTTTTGTTGTTTGCCAGAAATTTGTTGAAGAAGCATGATGGTATGTAATGTATATTACACATCCAAGAACATGGAGATATGCGTCTTCTTTCTGCTTTTTTATTTTTTTCAAATCTTAAAACTTTCTGATTCCAAATTCTAACCTGCCATTGTTGGATTATGTTATTCTGTGCAGATTACTGATAGAGAGGGACATATGGGTTCTCAGGATTGCAAGCTTGTTTCAAGGTGGAGATACTTAAGGAACATTTTTTTTGTTAATTTTTATCCTTTTTTTTTTTTTTTTTTTTTTTTTTTTGGTTAAATCTTATTTCTACTTTCAATAGAACAAAATAGGGTTTTGTGGTGGATGGATTTGTCAAACACAAAGTGAGGAAGGAGGATTAATGTGAGAATGATCCTTTTTTTGTTGGAAAAAAGAAGACAATACTTTGGTATCTTATACACCATAAAATTTGGCCATTAAATATTTTGATTAAAACTTAGTAATTAAGAGTTGACGATTAAAAATTTAAGATACATAAGATATACTTGGAGCACGATAAAAATTTCGAGAATGACAAATCACAGAAGAAAGAGACAATGGGGGAGTAACAGATTTTGGATTCTTGCTTTATTTATTGTTTTTCACATGTTTGTTTGTCCCTGATGGGTCATGTGGGTATGTTCGTCTCTTTATTCACACTTCTCCAGCAGCCCAATCTTCACAACTTTTATGCTTTTTAGAAAAGTATGCTACTTGCATCTTCTCTCTCTATCTTTTAGGTCCCTCACAGAGTACAGAGGATTTATTTATTTATTTTCTCAAAATTGTTTAAATTAGAGGTTTATTTTTTTTTTTTACTTTATTTTTTTTTTTTAAATTAGAGATGTTAAAATCACATGTATGTAAACTTTAAACAAAAAAATATGTATATATTTTTTGAAATTAAGTTATTGCCTTTAACTTTTTGTTACGTTATAAAACTAAATAGTATTTTCATCCTTATTTGGTTGACAAATAAGATTATATTAATATGTAGTTTAGATTTGAATTTCATTTTTCATGTTTGTTCGAATCTGTAATGACATACAACACACACGCAAAACAGACTACTTACAAATTTCCTTTTTCATGTTTGTTTTAAGGGAGCTGCTAGACCCATCTTACAATCTTCTTTCCCCACCCCACTCAAAAGGTAAAAAATAAAAACACCATTTTCCCAGATATTCCTAAACTATCCCTTACAAAGAAAATTAGCCACCACTACACATCCACCCACTCAACGGCAAGCAACTCCCTTCTAGTCGTTAGCCAACTCTGTCTCTAATTTAATCAAGACTACAAGGATGAGCAACATCCTCGGTCGACCTTGTAGTCGCTCTCTGCAATTACAACTCAAGTAGAGGACTAATCGTAGAAGAAGGGTATCAAAACCACGTCAATTAGATGAACTGAGCATAGTTCCACATGGATTGTTGAAACTATAAATGGGTATGAGAGAAAAAAAAAGAAAAAGAGTAAGGTTTCTTAAGGTAATTGTAATGGGCCTATGGTGTTTGATGAAGATTTTGAATGGATGGGAAGGAATTGACATAAGAGATGAGGAAAACGGTGGTTTCAACTTGGTTGGTGCTGTGTGCAGTGGTTTCAACTTGTTGGGCTCATGTTTTTGTTCCTTCTATTTTCAGAATTTAATACAAAAACAAAAGAATAAAATAGTTAAAGATAGCCTTATAAGTCATTTTGCAAAAGGTTAGAGTTGTCATTAAAAGTATCATTAAAAAGTGGGTGGAGAAATAGTGTTGGTGGGTGGGTATATCATCTCCTTTGTTTTAAATGGGAGAATTTTAACGCAAAATACAGTGGGGCCGACGATAAGTCTTATCCACTATTTTTTTTATGGAAAATAAAATTAATTAAAGAGAGAAATTTCTAGTACAACCATTTCCAGTACAATCAAATAGAAAAATATTTCTAGCAATAGTGAGTAATGACCTATTCCAACTATAAGTGTCATGTATCGAGTGGCCAACACAAGTAATGACGTTGGCAAGAAAATTCGCCTCGCAAAAGACATGCGACCACGAGATAAAAGAAAAGGAACTGGCAAGAGTTTGATGTCGTCAATGGTTGTCCTCAACCGCCAAGGTGTACTATATTTGTTCAAAATGACATCAATGATAAGCTTGGAATCTCCTTCAACACACACCTCCTTAAAATCTTTGATCTTTGCAAATCTCAAAGCATTACGAAGAACAAGAGCTTCAATAACAGAAACTTATGCTTTCTCCAAGATTACGGGTGCCAGCCACAATAAGTGAACCGTTAGCATCTCTAATGACAAAACCAGCAGCAGCCTTAGGACCCACCACCTAGCCATCAAGATTAATTTTGAGTTTAGGTGCATGAGGTGGCCTCCACTTGATAGTTTGAGATGAATCATGAACATGAGTTACATTCCAGGTTCGAAATGATCTTAAGTTTTTATTGGCAAGGTAATATTGTTTGCCAACTGTAGCAGAAACGATAGGGACCCTAGCAGGATGGGCCTTGCAATCACGGAAAACAAGATTATTTATATCATTCCACACTTGCCAACATGTTGGAAGAGCCTTACTAGATCGAAAAGTTCAATTCATCATTCGCACTTAGCTGGGATAGCCAAGAAATCACATCTGAAATCTTTGATCCTCAATTTGCAACCAGGTGGCCGATATAACAGAGAACTCGCCATTAGCAGTAGGACCTCATATAACTTCATCCCGCCTTCCCTGCAACAGTAGTGAGATACTACAATTTTTTCTTGCAATGTCAATATCCAAACAGCTCATTAATAAGGTTTTGTTCCAACCATTGTTCTCAATAACATCACTAACCCTCATATTCCATCAAGCCTCAATCTACGTGATTCAAGTAAGAGATAAAATAGAGGGAAAGCAAAACCCAAATTATGGATCCAAAACTGAATTGTCATTTCCCACTATCCATCTCATACCTTTTAGAAGAACATCTCTATAACTCAGCACATCCTTCCAAGCCAGAGAGTGGTGTTGCTTTATTTTCGCAGTAAATAGGTTTTCATGTGTTAAATGCTTTTGTTTTACAATTTGAACCAACTAATTTATCTGTATCGGTGATAATCTTCCATGCTAGCTTTGCCAAGGAGGGATTATTAAAGTGCTCAGCTCTACATATCCTAAGGCCCCACATTGACTTAGGAGGCCAATTTAGTTTCTTTACCCCCAAGAAAAGTTCTACATTCCTTGTTCACCGCATCGGTTATGTTATTAGGCATTTAAAACAAGCCATGACATGATTAGATATTTCAAATAAGTTGGACTTAATTAGGGTTAGTCTAACAGTTCATGAGAGGGTATTTACCTTCCAACCTGCAAGCTTCAATTTAATTTTGAGAATAAGCTTTTTGGCGTTAATGGGGTCATTCCAAAAATTTATATTATGGATTCTTAAAAACTTATCGATAGTTGTTTTATGCTGAATTTGCATGATATGAACAATATCATTTCTCAAATTGTTAGTAGCATTACTAGAAAAATAAAGAGATGATTCAGAGGCTGAGGAAAACTTATTGAGAGTATCCATGATGCTCCTAGCTGCCTTATATGAAGTTTTGCTAAAATTAGACAATCATCTACAAAAACAAGATTAGAAATTCTAAACCCAAAGGGGGAAGAGAGAATACCAAGCTGATTTTTAGCATTACTAGCTAGCAGATTGAGTTGTCTAATCATTGGTTCCACACATATAATAAAAATGTAAGGGGACAAAGGATCATCCTGTCTAATTCTACATCACTGATAAAAATAACCATTAGCTTCACCATTAGCAAGTCCTGCAAAAGAGGAAGAAGTGATGCACTCCTAATCAGATTGATCCATCTAGAGTGAAAACCAAACTTCCTAACCGACCAGATTGAGTTGTCTTATCATATGCTTTTTCAAGGTCCAATTTCATTTCCATGGAGCCTAACCAACCTTTTTTATTCTTAAAACTAGTGAAAAGTTCATGAGCAATAAGGATATTATAATGAATTGATTTTCCTGTGGCAAAAGCCCCTTGGTTTTTAGAAATGCACTGCTCAAGAAGAGGTTTCAACCTCATAGTAATAATTTTAGTGATAATTCTCGCATTGCATAAACTAATAGGACTATAATGGTTAACAGTCTCAGAGTTATCTACTTTAGGGATTGAAACAATATTGATATGATTAATCAATTTAAGACTAGAACAATCTTCAAAAAAATCTTGAACCAGTTTAAAAACAGAATGTTTAACAGTGTTCCAACAATTTTGATAAAAAAAAAAAAAAAAATGGCATGCAAACCATCTGGACCAGGAGCTTAAGGCTGCCAATGCTATTCACAGCCGTCCAAACCTCATGTTCAGATACTTCCTTTAACAAATCATTATTTTTTGAATCAGTGTCACAAGGGATTAATGGTATCAAGAAAACTATTTACCTCACTAAGATTGAGAGTATGGGAGGAGGAAAATCTCAATTTAAAATCTTGGACAAAAACCTCCTCCATACCCTCACCTCTATTCCACCAAATAACATTTGCATCTCCTACTCTTTGGATTTCACTTATTTTCCTTCTAATCCAATTGGCTCTAGCCTTTTGGGCCATATAGTTTCTTCATCCCTTAGATTTTGAATAAGTTGTTCTGATATATTCTTTTCCGCCCCAAGAAGTCGAGGGTCAGGGTTATCAACCGTTGTTTTAGGTTGAATATCAACGAGAAAATCCTATAAGTCTCTTATTTTCAAAGTATTCTAAATTGGTCATTAGGGCTGCCATCAAACTGACAAACCCAAGCCCTTTTAACCATCTCTTGAAATTCAGGGTGTTGGAGCCACATAGCCTCAAACTTAAACAAAAATAGAGAAATTATGCAAATTAAATTCATGAAATAAATTCAACCACGTAGTATTTGCTAGGGCTCCATCCAACCTTTGAAAGATAATTGTTTGATCCTTACGACAATTAGACCAGGTATACGAGACAGCAGAAACATGTAAACAAACTAACTTAGCTTAAAATGTCATTTTTTATTTACATTGAAGGTTCTTGAATTCTAAACTGACTAAGCTTAAAATGCCATCTTTCTAAAGAGAACATTGCACAAGTACTATAGGAACTTTTGGGATGTGCTTAAATACCACCCAAAAAATGAAAATCTTGGTCATTTACCACCTTAACTATTATGTAATTTATGTTAACGATTGCGACGCTTATTAAGGGTCAGAGGGGGCACATGCCCTCTCAAGTTTGTGGATTAATTAGGAAGTAGTACATTTAAATCGTAGTCGTCTTAATACAACGTGGAATTGGACTACGGATAATAATACACCTACAAACCCCACCGCAAAGCTTATTACTCGCTTCTCATTTAAAACCACCAGGAGACATATAAACACAATAAGATTTAGTTGCAGAGTTGTTTATGGCAACTCATGATGAC